TGTCTCAATGCTTAAAGAACTTGGAGAAGATGGCATTGTCTAATCCTGGTGCAGTAAGATTGTATTTCTCCTCCCTATATTATAATTGGAGAGCTAGGAATTGCTTTATGCATGGATCTAAGGTTCCTCATGCGGTTACATTAGCAGCTCAAATTCTGTCTTTTTCAGTGCAACCTATTTTTCTTCCAATTTGCAAGAACTAGATACTAATCGGCATTTGGTGCTGTCAAAAAAAACGATTTCCCCCTCCTACATATTGGATTAAATTGAATGTCGATGCTTCATTGTTGCAGTCTAATAAAGCAAGCATAGCAGGAGTGTTACGAGATCACAAAGGTAGATTTTTGCTTGCGTATAGAAGGAAATTATTGCATTGAGACATCTCTTTATTGGAACTAATTGCTTTTTCGACTTCAAGAAAGAAATACAAGATTGGATGATAGAGCAGCAAGGCATTATTATTGAAGGAGACAACATCAATATAGTTAAGCTTTTGCAAAAGACGGTGATGAAGACTAACCGGAATAACAGTATTCATAGCATGGATTTTTCTTTTTTAGATGTCATTCATAATGTTATTTTTCATTTTGTTTCTAGAGAGGGCAATAGTGTGGCGGATTTTTGTGCCCATTATCCCCTTTTAGGTGACTTTTATTCGGAGGATTTTATTGTTGGTGAACTTCCATCAAGTGTCGTTGACTTGATAAGGAAGGATAGTGATAGATTAGCTATCACTTAGATTTCTTTGTATCTTCTTTCTATGCATTAATGCAATTTGCATTTCCTCGATAAAATAAAATAAAATAGCATAAACACAATTAGAAAACTTTCCTAAACATTTTTCTCTTGATTAGAAAACTTCCAAAATAATTTCACTTAATTAAGAACTTTCCTAAACAATTCACCCTTTGTTAGAAACCTTACTAAACAATTCCCCTTTAAATAGGAACCTTCCTAAATAGCTCCCCTTAATTCCTTACATAATAAATAATAGCTCCCCCGGCCTAGCTCTAGGCCCCCCGGGGGTTACTCCCCCCCACTCCCACAAAAGACGCACCTTGTCCTCAAGGTGGAATGATGAGACTGGCTCTAAATCATCTCATATGGGTCCCATGTGGCTACATACTCCAAATCCTTTCACTTGATAAGTATCCTCTGTGTTCCTATTTCCCCTCGGCGCACCCTTCTACTTCCAGGGGCTCCAAAATTATATGTCTCCTATCAAAGTCAAGGGCAGTGTAGACGGTGTGTGATCCCCTATTGCACGCCTTAGTGGCTTCTTAGACTTCGGCCTTGGCTGACGTGAAGAATTTGATGGCTGGGGTCTTTGATAGCTTGAAATGCTACTAGAAGAAACCACATAAGAGCTTTTAGCTGGTGGTGTTTCATTCTTTCTCTTCAGAGGGCCTGATTGCAAAGTGCTCTCAATCTTTGGAGAAGATGATTTAGGCGAGACATTCTTTGAACTGGTTGGCTTAGAAAGTTCCTTCAACATAATAGGTAGAGATGAATTTCTCCTTGATCTTTGAGAGAAACTTGTAGATTCTTTCCTCATCATAGCCTTAATGGATTTGGATGCCATTACTGCTTTGTTCTGCTCCAGCGTCTCATGCATCACCTTAAGTTGTTCTTGTTTTGCTGCATGGTTTCTAGCATTCTCAGCTCGAAGTTTATCATTCCTTCTCTCTCTATATTAGCTATAAAATCCCCCTTTTTAATCTATAGAAGTTTGTAACAAACCATCAATACCAACTTTGGCATCAAGGTATTTACCAGCCTTGCTGCTTTCCATCAATTTTATAAGCATGTCATTCAACTCTGCCACTTGCTACTGATTCCATTTAGCCGATGTACAATCTTTGCCCTCCATATCAATGGAAGTAACCACAGGTTCAGTAGGAGGATCACCTTGCAGTGGTTATACCGTGACGATCTCTTCAAACATAACAACTTGAACACTTTCTAGATTTGAAGGCTTGGCCTTCACCTCATCTTCTTTTTTCTCCTGTACTTCATAGTCCAAGTTACCCGAAGCAATCTGATGGCAAGAATCTGAATTTTTTTCCGTGTAGAATACTTAAAGGAACCACCCATTCCCACACTACATCTTCATAAGACAGATTTGGTGGCATTAACGGATGCCTTTGAAGTTTTCGTATTTTTAATATCTACATTTTCATCCTTTTGTTTGCGCTCAAAAAGGTTGATAGCTCTTGAACACTCATTCAAGTGACATTATTTTCAGGCTTCTTTAGTAGATGTTCCATTTCATCATCCCCACTCTCGATTGGATCAACATCTCTATTTGTTGTAGTTTTTTCTCTGTCCAAAAAATAATTGAGGCTCTTAATAGTAATTGCAACAGACCCACGAGAACCAGATCTACCTACCTGGATCAGCCGCATTGGTGAAATAGATCTTCTAGATGTTGCAGATCTTACAACTGGCCAACTTCGTACACCATTAGGGCTATCTCAATCACTTAAAATCTGAGGAATCCTTACTCTCGAATGAGTTATGCCGCTCAGCTCGGGCTACTTTAGTAGAAGAAACGATGGTTGCTACGAGATTAACGACATCATATTTTGCACTGAGGGAAAAAATTTCCTTTTGCTGCTTGGTTAATATTTCTTGAATCATTCAAGGATGTATGTTGCTTCTTTGCAGTGTTGAAGTGCATGTTATTTGGGCACAACTCCAGGAACACAAATAATAAGTTGCTTAATTCCACTGCTCCAAAATGCTGAGATGCTAAATCAGAAATATGGTTGGTACAACAATTAGCACCAGTAGCATAATTGAAAGAAGCAACTAGCTCTTCCGTCAAAGCAGTGAGCCTCAAGTCCATAGCCCGCAACAATTGATTCTTTGTAAATTCAGGAGATAGTGATAACCCAGGAAATCTCTTATTTATGGACTGATAATCCCTTTCACGTTCATTCTCTGGTTCCCTCTTCCGCAACATATCCCAATGGCGCTCCTCTTAGCGTATATCAAGTTCTTGACAAAAAGCATCTCTATCATCCTTCTGTTAAGTAATTATTGGGACTCCAAGATTTAAATGGTCATGTGAAAAAATGCTCCCTTGGTAGTCAGTTCCAGCAGAACCATAAATGTCTTTCCTTGACAAATAATCATGCCCTGAGGGTAAAACTCACGCCATAAACAATGTTTGACCCTTGAGTATGATGATATCATCAATATTCCGCCTTGGAGCTCCTAAAATTGAAGGTGAATGTGGTCTTCCATATTGAGAACTGCCAAGAATGGGTAAAACATGTGGATCTACATCCATTCTTCAACCATGCGAACTAAATTCTTGAGAACTGGGATGAATAGGTGCAGCTCTTGCTACAAGATATTCAGTTTGTTTCACATAACGACTGGGATGCAGTGACCCTAGGATCGCAACCACCCCAATAGCTTCTTCCTCCTCAAGTGTAACAGTTGTCATGATCCCTCCATGTTTCTCCCATGTATCGAGGGTGGGAATCTCACCATGTCTAAAATGAACCTATCCCCATGGTTCGGCCCATCCCCCTCCTCTGGTAGTCCACTAACTTTGCCCAAATAGCCTCCCATAGTAGTTGTTCACTCCACAACCTCCACCATAAAACTCTCTTCTTACTGTCCCCCAATCTAGAACTCCTAATATGCCTCTTATCGGAGCCCAAATAGGTGGTTCTTGATGAAAGCAACTCTCCTTATCAAATTCTTCCCATCTGATTTCTTTTCACTTAGATTCAGAAAAGGGAATCCCGATCGACTACGGGTTAGGGTTAGCAATTGGAACCACCGATGAAGTTTTGGATTACATCTTCATGAGCTTCCTTAACATCTCTTCTATCCCTCCAAATTATCTCTCCATTTGATTCTCCATAGTTAAAAACTTCTCCTTCATAACGGATTTAAATTACCCTATTTTTCCTTTCAATGCATCCACTTTCTTTGTTGTCATCTCTCCAAAAACCTCGCTCTAATACCAATTTGATGCGTCTTGGAAGTAAAAACAGCAAATAAAAGAGAAGAAAGTAGAAAACATAGGAACACAAGGATAGGACTGATTTTTTTATTTTTCCTACGATAATAAAGCAAGATACAATTGATCTACTATTCGAGAGGTAGATCAACTCTCCCACAAACCCTAGACGCCATTAGGAACTCGCAACAAACACTAGGAAAATAAACTCAGCAATCTCCTCCCCAAACCATAAACAAAGTCCTCCTTAAATAGCCCTAGAACACAATAATACAATTAGAATCTTCCTAATCAACATAAACATAATTTAGAAAACATTTCTAAATAAATAGAAGCATCCTAACCAACATAAAAATAATTTAGGAAACATTCATAAACAATTAAATATGATTTAGCAAACATTCCTAAACAATTAAACATATATTTGGAAACCTTCCTAAACAATTAAACATGATTTAGGAAACCTTCCTAAACAATAAAACATATTTTAGGAAACATTCCTCAACAATTAAACACTTTTTTTTTAAAACACTTCCAAAATAGCATAAACACAATTAGGAAACATTCCTAAACAACTCCTCCTTGATTAAGAACCTTCCTAAATAATTTCACTTAATTAGGAAATTTCTTAAACAATCCCCCTTTGATTAGAAACCTTCCTAAAAAATCCCCCTTAATTAGGAACGTTCCTAAACAACTCCTTGATTAGAAATCTTCCTAAACAGTTCCCCCATAATTCTTTACATAATAAATAATAACTCCCAGGCCTGGCATATCATAAAGATCATACAATTATAATGCCCTCCACACTAGTCACTTCACCTAGACTACTGAAAATAAGATTAATGAAAACAAGAATAAATTTTATAAACAAGAATGCTAAAAAAATTGATTGCACGACCACATATTCAATCCTACAAAAGGTAGCATGTCCTGAGCTATAATTCTACATTAATATGAGAGATGATGTGCAAATGGAAACTCTAAAATTATTTAAGCACAAACAGAAATAGATTCTTACACAATTTTCATTTCAGCAATTTCTGATAGGTTGAGAGAATTCGCTTTTGCAAAATATCTGGAGTGAAGTGAATATTCCTCAGCAGCACTCAATGGAGGACCACCTAAATCTCCAAAACCAAGCAACTTAGCAAAATCAAAGCCATTTTGAGCTTGGGCAGCTTTTTCCCATTGCTCCTTCCTACGCTGGTCCGGGTCCTTCATCAATGACATGAACGCAGGATCTAGATATGCATCCACATGAAATGAACTGCTACAGAATTTAAATCAAATTAGCTTGCTTCTGTAAATATTTATCATCAGCATGGCATAATCAGCACTTGGGAACTCCAACAACAAATCAAAACAAATTTTACACACTTGGGAACTGCAATAAAAAAGATGCTAGGATGAAATTAAGTATGCCAGCATCGTTTGGTTATTGGTGCAAAATAAGATTGACGCTAATCTCCAAAAATTTGCAAAGTTGCCCTTTGGTCGATTCATGCCAGTGCACATGCAGTAAATTTGCAAGTTGCTAAAAAAAGCAGCTAAAATGTACTACCAAAGAAAGACTCAATTAGCTCAACTATAACCAAATGATCTGATATAAAAATCAAAGTTCATGTTCATCCAAAACGCAAGATGGTGCATTGAGACGTGTTAATCGGCATGCTGAGTTTTTATTTGAATTTAGATGAGGCTGCTTTAGTAGTTCAGTGTTTCTCTTTAAACATGCCATGATGACCGTTATGAGAACAAGTTGTGTTCTTTAATGTTCTAACCTTTATCCTCTATAGTTGAATTTGGTTCCCTGTGCTGGTTTGGTTCGCTTCAGCCATCTGTTTACTATTTTGCTTTCAGTTTGGTTATAGTCATGGTTCTTAGTTTGGTTTTAATGGGTCAATTGCTGTTCGGTTTTATCCCTGCTGGACTATGAATTAACCCTATTAATTCTGCTCCTTGAGTACTATAGAAAAGCAACACTGAACCAACCACGGTAAAATTTGCAGCTACTTTTACGTGTTTTGTTGTTCCATCAGTTGATAATAATTCCTTTGCGGTACTTCCGCAGGTGCTGGCTGTGATTATTCCGTGCAATCTGTGCCTTAAGAGGCCAACTCAATTAAATTAAAATTAAGGGGAAATCATGTGATTATAAAAAGTTATGTCAGAAATATTTAAGAGACAAGTTCCAATACTAGTTTCGTTTAAATATTTTTGCAATCTCAATGTGATCTGAGTGTTGATTGAATGTGAATTTTCAAACTAGATGCAAGTGATGGCTAGTGTTTACAAACTTTTAAAGGAAGCAATCTTCTCGTGCTAACATGAGACTTGAATCTTTTCTTTGGGTGATTTCTTTTTATCATTTTCCTTTTCTAAATTTTAATTATTAGTCTGCCTATGTGATTAGATTTAGTCAAAACTCATAAAAAATATGGGTTATCTGATGAAGGTGTGATTATGAAGTGACGTGGTTTTCATTGATCTGGAATTTATATGTTAAATTTGTATTTAGGTGATCATTAAATTTTGTTTGCACAAATTCTGAATGTTTTCTTCTTTTCATCAAAAAATAGATATTTGTTTAAATTGAAGGTCTATGAACAGCAATTTTTGATCATTTTTATATGACTTAATACATTACATTATATAAATATATTAGAAAATGCTATACCTTAAAATGACATCCATCAAATTTGATATCGAATGTTAAAGTTACATCAGCAAGAACTAGAAGTGAGGCTCAATATCAAAATCAATCAACAAATCATCAAAGGAAAGTGTTATGTTCGCTCAAGAAAAATGGTTTTAGGCACGAAACCCGCTTTCCAGGCTTACAGTTCAATTTTCCTTAAGGTAGATTGATTTTTTAATTAATCTGATTCCCCCGAGGATCATATATGGGATTATTCAAATTTGGGTTCTTCCTATTAACACAAGCCCTTATAGTTAATTATCCCTCCCACTTCTTGGAAGAGCAGTCTAGCATAGCTTCAAAATTTTAAGTTTTAGTCTCATTTTTAGGGGACAAAAGTAGACCCGATCAAGATCACATTGTTCCGTCATCCTGGGAATAATGTGGATTTCAGTCTACCAATACTAACAAACTATTGGTTGCAACATTCAGGGAGTCTGATTAGTAGCCATGGGTTGCCTCATCTCAGAGATCCCGAGCAGAGTGAAGTAATTAGAGGTTGTGGTTTGAGTTTTGGGACTTATATCTATTACAATGTCAATTAGTTTATTTAGTTTGAGGCTTATGGCTTCTTTTAGAAGGTGCCCGATAGTTTAATTTAGAATAGGGCTTATAGCTCTACTTAGGAGTTATTGAGTAGTCTAATTGGAATAGGGCTTACGGTTCCGCTTAGGAGTTGCCAGTTAGATTTTTTAGAATAGGGCTTACGACTACGCTCATGAGTTTCCTAGTTGTTTAGTTTGGAGCTTATAGTTCCTTTTAGGAGTTGCCCATTAGATTTCTTTGGGATGGGGCTTATGGCCCGCTTAGAAGTTTCCCATTATTTTGTTTAGTATAGGACTTATGGCTTTACTTAGAAGTTTATTACATATTTGATTTAGGATAGGACTAATGACTTTAATTAGAAGTTACCTGGTAAATTTGATATAGGATAGGACTAATGACTTCACTTAAAAGTTGCCTGTAAATTTAGTTTAGAATAGAGCTTATAACTTCAATTAGAAGTTGTCTTATGGATTTTCTTTTGGATTGGGGCTTCTGGGTTCAATTAAAAGTTGTCCGATTTGACTTCGTTTATGATTCATTACTTCACAAAGAAGCTTCCCTAATAAATTGATTAAGAATAAGTCTTACTGCTTCATTTAAAAGGAGTCTATTAGTTTGCTTTAGGTTCCTTGGTTCACTTAAAAGCTCCCTAATAAATTAGTTAAGATAGGATTTATTGCTTCACTTTGAAGTCACCTATTAACTTAGTTTTAGGGTTATCTACTCCACTTGGAAGTTGCCCAAATAAATTGGTTAAGAATAGGTCATACCGCTCCTTCGAGAAGTAGTCTGAAAAATTTAATTTAGGAATAAGTTTTACTGTCTCATTTAGAAGTAGCCTGTTAATTTATGTTTGCTGAACTTAGGAATAGTTACTTTGTTTTTATTTTTCTCTTTCTTCAAAAGTTGCTGTTTTTAGTTACAATATTTTCCTTTTGCTTTTAGCATCGTTCTGTTCTTATCTAATTTGAGATCGTTTATTTGCTTGCAGGTATTAGTAGCCCGCACCACTTGCCAGTTTGGTTTAGTCTTTATTTTTTTTTTTTGTTGTTGTAGATGTTTAGTTTGTTTGGAGTTTTTTTGTACTGAGTTGGCTGTTGTATTAGTTGGACTGGTTGTATTTAGAGTATTTTAGTGTAAACATTTCCTCTTTTTTTTAATTTAGTTTATTACCTTTTAAGTTAATTAATTAATTAATTCATCGTGTTTTAAATTAATTAATTAACTAAAAAATTTTAATTTATTGTGTTTTTTTTTCAAATTAACATTGTCGTTGTCTGATCCCAAATCCTGGATGAAAAAAAATAGAGGGTTGCGTTAGATAGTCGACAGTCAGCATAAAACTTGTCAAATAACATGAATCATTTAATACATTATGTTAATACTAAGGCGTTCCCTGTAAGAGAAGGCTAAGAAGATTAATAATTTATGATTAAAACTATGGTATTCTGATAAGAGTCATGCTAGAAATGGTGTAGGAATGATTATAAATAAAAGTTTGAAGGATAATATTGTAAAAATTAATAGAATTGGAGATAGAATTATAGTTTTCAAGATTATTGTTGATATTAAGATTATTAATATTATAAGTGATCATGCTTCTAAAATAGGTTTGGATATGTGTTCAAAATTAAAGTTTTGAAATTATTTAAAAGAATTAATACAAAAGATATATCTTGAAAAAAAAATTTATTGGAGGAGATTTAAATATACATGTTGGTAAAGAGATAGATGGTTTTAAAAATATTCATGCTGGCTATGGAGCTGGAGCAACTAATGATGGTAGTAAGATCATATTTCATTTTGCTATAGCTAATAATTTTATAATTGCTAATACCTTATTTAAGAAAAGAGAGAGAAATCCTGTAAGAATGGATATAGTAAACTCGAATTGATTATTTCTTATAGAAAAAATAGATCGTTTAACTTCCGAAGATTATAAAGTTATTCCGAGTGAAAGTTTATGTATTCAACTTCGTTAATTAGTTTTGAACTTTAAGATGAAGGGGAAGAATAAAAAAAAAGTAAAACATTTTTCAAGGATTGATAGGGGCATTTAAAGAATACTAACAAAAATATTTTTGAGAGTAAAATTCTAGATCTTAAGATTTTGTCCGTGCATGAGAAAGCTAATATTATGTGCAAAAAGCTGCTAAAAAAATTAAAAAAGTAACAAAGCATGTACTTGGAATAATAAAGGGGAAAAAGCTCCTAATAGTAAAAATAGTTTATGGTGGAATCAAAATGTGCAAGAAAATATCAATAATAAGAAGCTTTGTGATGAAAATTGGTTTAAAAGTAAAAAATTTTGATAATTGGGAAAGATATAAAGATATTCATAAAGAGTCTAAGAAAATAATATGCGATGCAAAGATTTTAATTTTTAATGATTTATATAATATATTAGATATAAAAGATGGTAAAAGATGTATATATAAGTTAGCCAAATAAAGAGATTGTAGTTAGGATTTAATGCAAGTAAAGTGCATTAAGGATGAAGATCAAAAAGTGATTTTATCATAAGAGAAATTATTAGAAATGACCTTCCTTGATTAGATTTAAATGAGAATTTGACTCTTAACATGATACAATGGAGAAAAAAGATACAAGTAGCCGACCCCATATAGTGGGATAAAGGCTAGTTGTTATTGTTGTTGTGTTTATTTCAAAATAAATAATTAATTAATTAATTAAAAGAAAATTTTAATTACTAATTAAAAATTTTAGTATTTCTTATTACTATCATTTAATTAAACTGATTAAAATTTTAATTTAAATAAAATCAAATTAGGATTATTTTAATTTTAAAAACAATGTTTAAATTTAATAATAGACTCAAATTGCTTTCTCCAAAAACAAAATTTTAATTTAAATATATATTTTTTTTTAATTTGGCAACCTCCTAACATCTCCTCCCCGCAAAGGAAGGTTGAGAAGGCACTTGTATTTCAATCTGGTAGGTCAGATCAAAGATACGATAGGCCACATTCAACAAAATAGGCTAGACGAAGGCGGGCTGAGTCGCA